TTGCGACGACATGTACAGCCGCATGTCGTCATTCCGCCGCTGGTTGTCGAGGTGGTGCCCAGTAATAATGTAGGCTCCGTTGATCACTGGAAGACGTTTTGGGAGAGCCTGGTCTGATTAGGAGAGACGGCATCCATCCCACTTTGGACGGAGCTGAACTTCTTTCTAAGAACCTGACCCAGTTTCTTAGTGGACTTGATCCATGACCCAGAGTTCAGACCAGGGAGCAGAGTCGCAGTCTTACACACTTCTCTGCGCTTCAATCTGAGCAGTCACTCTCATGTCTCTATCATGAACCCTATAGAGACCTTGTCTGCCCCACGGACACACTTATATAAGTTAAAGGTAAACAACCGAGGAGTTGTAGTAAATAACTTAATTAAAGTTAAAACTAATAATGCAACAGTGCAACAAAATAGGAGAATTAAAGGGGGTCTTTTGAATATCAGATCTCTGTCGTCTAAAGCTGTTTTAGTAAATCAATTAATATTAGATCACCATGTTGATGTATTTTGTCTTACTGAAACGTGGTTGTTGGATGAGGAATATTTCAGCTTAAATGAAGCGTCTCCTTCGAGTCATGTTAATACTCGAGGCACGGGCCGGCAGCTATTTATGACTCCTGCCATTTAATAAACCGTGAAATAAGGTGGATTATAACTCATTTGAAAGCCTGGTTTTTCAGTCTCTCGCAACCGATCTGTAACAGAGGTGGGGAAGGCAGGACTCAAACGAAGAGTTTTGGCCAGATGGCCCAAACCTGGCAAAGAACAGACAAGGGGCAGGAGGGAGGGAAACCAGAGACGATTATCGGACCGCCCGGGGAACTCTGGCTGGTCAGACGGTCCAGGCAGGCGGTCAGACAGCCGGGGAGCTTCCGGGGGGTCGGTCCGGAGGACGGTCAGCAGTCTGGCTCCGGAGTGCCGACTACAGGGCTATGGAAGTCTCCGGAATCGCCGGCTGGGGAACGCGGGAAACCTCCGGCGTCGCTGGCTGGGGAATGAGGGAAACCTCCGGAGTCGCTGGCTGGGGAACGAGGGAAACCTCCGGAGTCGCTGGCTGGGGAACACGGGAAACCTCCGGAGTCGCTGGCTGGGGAACGAGGGAAACCTCCGGCGTCGCTGGCTGGGGAACGAGGGAAACCTCCGGAGTCGCTGGCTGGGAAACGCGGGAAACCTCCGGGGTCGCTGGCTGGGAAACGCGGGAAACCTCCGGAGTCGCTGGCTGGGGAACGAGGGAAACCTCCGGAGTCGCTGGCTGGGGAACACGGGAAACCTCCGGAGTCGCTGGCTGGGGAACGAGGGAAACCTCCGGCGTCGCTGGCTGGGGAATGAGGGAAACCTCCGGAGTCGCTGGCTGGGGAACGAGGGAAACCTCCGGAGTCGCTGGCTGGGGAACGAGGGAAACCTCCGGCGTCGATGGCCGGGGAACGAGGGAAACCTCCGGAGTCGCTGGCTGGGGAACGAGGGAAACCTCCGGAGTCGCTGGCTGGGGAACGAGGAAAACCTCCGGAGTCACTGGCTGGGGAACGCGGGAAACCTCCGGAGTCACTGGCTGGGGAACGCGGGAAACCTCCGGAGTCACTGGCTGGGGAACGAGGGAAACCTCCGGCGTCACTGGCTGGGGAATGAGGGAAACCTCTGGAGTCGCTGGCTGGGGAACGAGGGAAACCTCCGGAGTCGCTGGCTGGGGAACCCGGGAAACCTCCGGAGTCGCTGGCTGGGGAACGAGGGAAACCTCCGGAGTCGCTGGCTGGGAAACGCGGGAAACCTCCGGCGTCACTGGCTGGGGAATGAGGGAAGCCTCCGAAGACGCTGCATGACGTGGGGGGCTGGACATCGGGACACCGGTCAAACCCCTGCCAGAGCCCCCCCCCTCAAGGGCCGGATCCCAGACTGGAGGCGTTGGAGTCAGGAGTCGTGGGGCCGGTACCGGGGTCGTGGGCTTGGATCCGGGGGGCGGTTGTGTAACATCATTCGCTGTGTAATGTCATTAACTACTATTCACTGTGTAATATCATTAACTACTGTTTGATGTGTAAAATCATTAACTACTATTCGCTGTGTAACGTCATTAACTACTATTCACTGTGTAACGTCATTAACTACTATTCACTGTGTAACGTCATTAACTACTATTCGCTGTGTAACGTCATTAACTACTATTCACTGTGTAACATCATTAACTACTATTCACTGTGTAACATCATTAACTACCATTCGCTGTGTAACGTCATTAACTAGTATTCACTGTGTAACGTCATTAACTACTATTCACTGTGTAACGTCATTAACTACTATTGCTGTGTAATATCATTAACTACTGTTTGATGTGTAAAATCATTAACTACTATTTGCTGTGTAACGTCATTAACTACTATTTGCTGTGTAATATCATTAACTACTGTTTGATGTGTAAAATCATTAACTACTATTTGCTGTGTAACGTCATTAACTACTATTCACTGTGTAACATCATTAACTACTATTCACTGTGTAACATCATTAACTACTATTCACTGTGTAACATCATTAACTACTATTCACTGTGTAACGTCATTAACTACTATTTGCTGTGTAATATCATTAACTACTGTTTGATGTGTAAAATCATTAACTACTATTTGCTGTGTAACGTCATTAACTACTATTCACTGTGTAACGTCATTAACTACTATTCACTGTGTAACATCATTAACTACTATTCACTGTGTAACGTCATTAACTACTATTCGCTGTGTAACATCATTAACAACTATTCACTGTGTAAAATCATTAACTACTATTCACCGTGTAACATCATTAACTACTATTCGCTGTGTAACATCATTAACAACTATTCACTGTGTAAAATCATTAACTACTATTTGCTGTGTAACATCATTAACTACTATTTGCTGTGTAATACCATTAACTACTTTTACTATAAGACAGCGGTTCCCAAACTCAAGAATGCTGCGGTTCACTTTGAAATCTGAAAATCTTTTGCAGGCCACGCAAACCTTTAATCACAACTCTGATCAAGACATAAACTCGGGATGATTAAATGACCTTAAGAATTAAACCGATCCGGTGGAGACGGTGCTTTCAGGGTCCGATCGATGCTGCAAGGTGCGTCCGCTCCCGCCTCGCCATCTACGACTTAAATCTCCGGCTGCTCTCCAGCTTCGCCGCCTGCCAAGGGCTCCTTTTAGAATAACTTATTTTCCCCGTTAAGATGGTTCAGCTACTGTAGAGAAAAGGGCGTCGTCTCTCGCTCTTTAATCTCATTATGTGCTCGGCAAGAAAGACAGCTTTGTTTCTCCGACGCGCCCGGAAACAAGCTCCATATCTCACGCGCTTGAGCGACGCTCAGCATCTTGCCGTCGTAGACGAGCTTTGGCATTTTTGGCAGAGCGCCTTGAGCGCCGTGTACAACCAGTATGAATCAACCAATTAACCAATCTGTTCGTTTAAATTGTTTGTGCTTCATCAATTAATGTTTCACATAACTAATGTGCCGCATCATACATATTTTTATATCAATTTCAAACTTTTCAAAATTGAAAATTAAAAACGTTTTATTTATTTATTGTAAATGACCTCTCGCGGCCCACCTGCAGTACCTTCACTTTGGGAATCGCTGCTCTAATGCATTTATTTACAAATGCCATTTTAAATTCATCTCATAGCACTTGGTTGCTTTTTAGCTGTATACATTTACTTAACTTGCACTACAATGATGGTAGTAATTTAATGAATAAGCTTCAAGTGAACATGGGGGTGTGTTTGTGAGTTTAGTTCTGAAGAAGTTCTGACATTAAAACAAATCCTGTTAAATTTTCTTATTTGTATTTGTTTTTATGTTCAAGGAGCCACCTGTACTTTCTGAAGTATTTTTGCAATGTATTTGCCGTTCTGTTTTAGAATAAAGGGCGTCGATTAATCGTCGAAAGAATCGACCGATTAATCGATTATCAAAATAATCTTTAGTTGCAGCCCCACATCCATATCTCAGTTAATTAAGCCTGTTGTGTTTGTTACTGTACGTCTTACTATTGACACATTTTTCTCGATCATAGTATTACACCAACATCTTCAATTTTTGGCGCTTGGACTATAAACAGGAAACAATGTAGGTTTGACTATATCTAATTGTTCAATCAATCATATTGATAGATTTGTCACGGTGTGGTTCACTTCCTGTTGTATTTTGTAGTTTTCTGCCACTCGTGTCCCCGGGTAACTTCACTTCCTGCCTTGTCCCGTCATCCCCTGTGATCGTCTTAATAGTTTCCACCTGTGTCCAATCACCTGCACCTCCCTTGTGTATTTAAGCCGTGTGTCTCCTGTCACTTGTCGCGTCATTGTCTTTCGTCTTGGATCGCCGTAGTTTCTTGCCTGTGTGCTTTTGCCCCCGGTTCCTGTGTCTTTTGACTATTAAAGTCTTTTGTTTCCCGCAAGTCTGCGTTTGAGTCCTGCCTCCCACCCGCATCCCCCGGAGAAGATTTTTCACTGGTAAAGAGCAAATTCTCGCTAATTTTGCAAATATGATCAGAAATACAATATCACAATAATGGCACGGCTGTCACAATATCAATATTTTTTTGTTGGTTTATTCCACGAACAGTTATTGCGATGTTATTGAAATTTTCAGATCATTTTATGCCACTGTTATAATGACAATATAATAGCATAGTAATAAAAGTATGTTGTTGTTATGGAGATAGTCTGACAAATGGAACTGAAATCAAATGTGTGTTCCATTTGATAAATGCAACACAACTTAAATGAATAGAAATGAATACATCCCATTACTGGGTCAAAGACAGGCGTTGGTGTACTGAACGAATGCACCGTGGAATCTAAAAGATGATCGGAGCATTTCAACACGCTGCAGCACTGCAGTTTCTTGATTTGAGAAGTTTTGGAAGATTATGTAGCTATCTGACATCTTTGAGCTATATTGTTAGTTTCAGGCAACCAAAAGCATATCCCTTAAAAAGTGTGAGCTCTGAAATGTCACCACGCTGTGGCCCTTCTCAAGCTTTATTAAGCAACAGCCAAACAGATATGTATTTGTTGTTTCATGAATGCATGCATCGATACATTTGGTAAAATGGTAATATGAAGAATAACGCAAAATAAGGGTTAATGGCTCAAATGGTTAACGGGTGTTTGAAAGTAAGCTGCAGGGCGATTGGACGAGGACGACCATCAGGAGGACGAGCGTCAGGAGGACGAGCGTCAGGAGGACGAGCGTCAGGAGGACGAGCACTAGCCCTCGGTGACTTGCTGCTGCTTGAAGGCTTTCTGAGCCCAGTTCACATAGTGGCCCACGCAGAACTGCCTCCCTTTGACAGTTGTGACCCTGCAAAAAAACAAAGAAATCCATGGAAACAGTCATACACTCTTCCTTGAAATGTGATCATCATCATGAAAGGACTAACAAAAAGACTTACAAATTGTAGCACTTGAATTGAACTTTTAACGCCACTCCTCCAACAAATTGTAAATTGGCTTATTTGAGGAAATTGGACTTTTTTGTTTCTTGTTCTTCGTTTGTACTCCTATGGTTGAATGCACTTATTGTAAGTCGCTTTGCATAATCATTATTCACTGCTGTGGTGATCTCGGGTGACAGAAAACAATGTCCAACATACACAAATGCCTTTTCAGGACAGCTGCGGTGGGTCTTGGTGACGGAGACGATGTTGTTTTTCGGGACCGTTACTGTAGAGAATGTAAAGCAGCACACCCCATGTGACATTTGTTCCACTGCCTGGGCTGCAAAGACAAGAGAAAACCAGGATTGGTGTCAGAACACATGGAGACACATTTAATCAGGCTGCAACTACATCCATATTTATTACTTTTAATATCACTGGGTAGACATCTAGGAATGTAAGTTACAACTATATACTATTCAAAAATAAGTTTGTATGGTTTTCATGTAATCGTCTGTTTAGGGAACGCTCTAAATTGCGTACTTTGACTTCACCTACAGTTAGAAAATTCAGTAACCCAAATGTATCTCAAAGAACTTCTTTAAGTCGTGATGTCAAAATAACTGTTTTTCTAAATAACGTTTCTCAGATTCATACAAAAACAAACACATTTGTACTAGTAAATTAGCTAAACATTTAAGCCATTTGTCATATCCACTAAATCTCGCTGTGGCAAAATACCACTGAGAACATGGCCCCTCAGAGTTTGGGGGTTTTACCTATTTGGGTTATTATTATTATTTTCCCTTATGTATATTAAATTAAAGAACGCAGCATATCTAAATATTATTTATTTAATGTAATCCAATTAAATGTGATATATCTAATATTATATTGGGTGAATTTATATATAATATAAACTTTATTGACTTTAATAACTTTTTACATGTATGACATAAATAAATAAGAATGTAAATTGTTTAAAATTATTGTTAACAGGATGGAAACCATTGGATAATTATCAATTGGAGCATTAATCAAATGATTTATCAACATGGGAACCAGAAACAGAGTCAGGACTCACGCATGGCGATGCAGCAGTAGATGGAGACGGACAGCAGGAGTCCCACGGTGCAGCTCAGAGTCCTCATGGTGTCCTCGGGTACAAGTGATGATGCTCTTATGTCAGCGTGTGAGACCAGGCATCTGCTGAGTCAATCTCACTGACAGCGGCACTTATCTCTTCATGAGTGGGTGTCTTTACAATTTTGGGTGACAGGAAGTCGCCCAACACTTCATCGGCTGCTCTAATTGATCGGTTGATAAGAGACACAAACCGCATTTCAGGGCGCAAACTAACAACAACCAACATAAGCAATTTAAGTCACTTTGCGATGCATTTCATTGTCAACGAGAGAAGTGGGCAGCCCTCACTTTAAAAGACTAATAAGATGTAATTGTAACAGGTTGGTCCTTTTGGGGGGGTCTTGGAATGACGGGCACGAGGCAGTCGGGTCCATTGTAAATGTTGTTGTGTGTGTGAAAATATAAATAAAAACCAACACCGGCTCCAGCCTCCTCGCCTCGCTCTCCCGCTGTCGCCGGATCTCTCCTACTTAACAGCAGAATACTGATTGTTGATTCACATCAGCTGAGGCCAATTGTCTCCCCCGGCACCGTTCCCTGAACCACTCCCTTCTCAGTCCCCCCCCTGCAGCTGAGCCAAACCACGCCCGCCACCACATACCCCCACCGCCCGACTTAGGCCGGGGAGCCATCCGGCCGAACCTACTCCCCCCCCTCGCCCTCGAGAGGGCGGGAGAGGAAGTCCGCCACGACCATCTGCGCCCCCGGCCTATGGACCACCTTGAAATTAAAAGGCTGTAGAGCCAGATACCACCGAGTGATCCGGGCGTTAGCATCTTTCATGCGGTGGAGCCATTGGAGCGGGGCGTGGTCCGAACAGAGGGTGAATGAGCGTCCCAGGAGGTAGTAGTGTAGGGAGTCGACCGCCCACCGGATGGCCAGGCACTCCTTCTCTACTGTGCTGTACTTGGCCTCCCTCTCGGACAGCTTCCTACTGATGTAGACCACGGGGCGGTCCACCCCCCCCCCCGCCTCCTGGGACAAAACGGCCCCCAGCGCCCTGTTCGACGCGTCAGCCTGCAGAATGAAGGGGAGAGAGAAGTTAGGAGTATGAAGGAGTGGTTCCCCACAGAGAGCCTGTTTTACCTTCTCAAACACCTGCTGGCACTGCTCCGACCACTGGACCGGATCCGACGCACCTTTCCGGGTCAGGTCGGTCAAGGGGCTGGTGAGGTCCGCGAAGCCGGGGATGAACCGCCTGTAATACCCTGCCAGCCCCAAGAACCGCCTCACCTCTTTTTTGGTCTTGGGGCGCGGGCAGGCTGCGATAGCAGTTGTCTTGTCCACCTGAGGGCGCACCTGCCCGCCCCCCAAGTGGTACCCCAAATACCGTACCTCCACCCATCCAACCGCACACTTCCCCGGGTTGGCGGTGAGCCCCGCCCGTCCCAGCGCCTCCAGCACCGCGCCCACCTGCCGCACATGCTCCGCCCAGGTGGTGCTGTGGATAATCACGTCGTCCAGGTAAGCGGCGGCATATGCCGCGTGCGGACGCAGCACCCGATCCATGAGACGCTGAAACGTGGCCGGGGCCCCAAACAGCCCGAAGGGAAGTGTGGTAAATTGGTACAAACCGTACGGGGTGGAGAATGCCGTTTTCTCCTTGGACTCTGGCGACAGAGGAATCTGCCAGTAGCCCTTGGTTAAATCCAGTGTCGTGAAGAAACGTGCAGTGCCTAGCCGGTCCAGGAGTTCGTCGACCCGGGGTATTGGGTAGGCATCGAACCGTGACACGTCATTCACCCTGCGATAGTCCACGCAGAACCATACAGATCCATCCTTCTTAGCCACAAGGACGATGGGGCTGCACCAGGCACTGTTGGACTCTTCTATTACCCCCAACTCCAACATACTCGCCAATTCCCTCCGAACCACTTCTTTCTTGTGTTCGGGCAACCTGTAGGGTCGAGACCTCACTGTCACGCCCGGGGGCGTCTCGATACTGTGAACTATGAGGTCGGTCCGGCCTGGCAAGGGAGAGAACACATCAGCATAACCGCTCCTGCAACCTGGCAATGTCCGCTCTCTGGCTCTCGGAGAGATGAGCGTCTCGAGGGAGCGAGGTATGATTACCTGCTTTTGGAACCTCCGGCCCCAGCTCCTCCCCTTCCGATACCGCAGAGACCAGAGAGACGGACTCCACCCCCCTCCAGGCTTTCAGGAGGTTCAGGTGGTATATCTGTGTACCCCCGCCCCTGTCAGACCGCACCACCTCGTAGTCGACGTCCCCCACCTGCCGTGTGACCTCGAAGGGCCCTTGCCACTTGGCTAGGAGTTTAGAGTTGGAAGTAGGAAGCAATACAAGTACCTTTTCTCCCGGTGTGAATCGTCGCAGCCTGGCCCCTCTGTCGTACAGCCGTTGTTGTCGCTCCTGGGCCTGCAGCGAATTCTCTCGTGACATCTGGCCCAGTGTGTGGAGTTTTGCCCGCAGGTCCAGGACGTACTGGATCAGGTCCAGCACCCCCCGCGGCGTCCTGCCAAACAAAAGTTCAAAGGGAGAAAATCCCGTGGAGGCCTGGGGGACCTCCCGCACTGCAAACAACAGAGGGTCAAGCCAGTGGTCCCAATTACGTTCATCGTCGCTAATAAATTTACGGATCATGGACTTCAGAGTCTTATTCATGCGTTCCACCAGCCCATCTGTCTGCGGGTGGTACACGCTCGTACGAATGGACTTAGTGCCCAGTAACCCGTAAAGTTCTCTCAGTGTGCGCGACATGAACGAGGTGCCCTGATCAGTCAGAATCTCCTTAGGGATTCCAACTCGGGAGATGACCTGAAACAGCCTGCGCGACGCTCTTTGCACTGATATTGCGCAACGGCACTGCCTCCGGATATCGCGTTGCGTAATCCACGAGAACTAACACAAAGCGATATCCGCGTGCGCTCCGGTGAAACGGCCCGATGAGGTCCATGCTGATCCGCTCGAACGGGACCTCCACCAACGGCAGAGGACGCAACGGCGCCCTCGGAATGGCCGGAGCGTTCACTAACTGACACTCCGGGCAGGACGCGCACGTTCCCCCCGGATGCCTGGCCAATAAAATCGGGTCATTCCAGCGCCCGGGCCTGTCTCTCCACCTGGGCTTGGAGCGCCCCCAGGTATTGCCGGTTCGCCTCTGCCTGCTCCTTCTGGACGGCCGCCAGCTCCCCGATCATCTGGCCGAGCGCCACAAGCGGCTGGGTCGGCATGCCCTGCCGGTGTGCGTCAGCCGACATTTCCTCCCCCCAGCCAAGTTGGGTGCCACTGTAACAGGTTGGTCCTCTGGGGGGGTCTTGGAATGACGGGCACGAGGCAGTCGGGTTCATTGTAAATGGTTTTTATTTATATTTTCACACACACAACAACAACAACAACAACAACACACGCCTCCTTGCCTCGCTCTCCCGCTGTCGCCGGATCTCTCCTACTTAACAGCAGAATACTGATTGTTGATTCACATCAGCTGAGGCCAATTGCCTCCCCCGGCACCGTTCCCTGAACCACTCCCTTCTCAGTCCCCCCCCTGCAGCTGAGCCAAACCACGCCCGCCACCACAGTAATACATTTAAAATTCATAGAAACTGATAAACAGGGATGCTAAAATTATGTATGCTGTAAAAAAATATACAGCATTACAGTGTTTCAGGGACATTTAAGGAAATGTTTGGGGTTGGACGCCTGTTAGTTTGGGTTTGTTTTGGTTTTGTTTTGGTTTAGTTTGGGTTTAGTTTAGTTTAGTTTGGGTTTCGTTTAGCTTGGGTCTAGTTTGGGGATAAGGGTAAATATTTATGTTGTGGAAATGAGTGAATTATGTCCCTGTGAGAAATCAAAAGTATCTTAACCTTGATCGTGATATTTATTCAAATATAGAAAAAGAATACACAAATCATCAAACACAAGCCATGAGTACAGATTCAATGACTCAATTCAGCTGAAAAGGGACAGAGTTCCTACTGGGCAGCAAAGAAGTCTGTCAAAGCTTCTTGGTCTATAGAGAAGCTTTAATGCACATCGGAGCTCCACGTTGTCTGAACAGAAGGACGGCACCATACAAGGGAAGTGGTAAAGTGTAAAGTGGGTGGTAAAGACTGAAGCACATTTAGAAAAGGTAATGATACAACCAACAGGTCCCAGCTATTAAATCAGCTGTTAAAGTGTGTTCAGTGTCAGAGGGGATTGTGAGGAAAGTAGGAATCAATGATGTCTTCCGACCCCTCAAAGTGCTTTAACACTACATGACACTCTGCTCGGGAAACTCACCTCAGCCGCTTGTATCCGCGACCTTGGTCTCTCGGTCACGACACAGAATTTGTGACCATGGGTGAGACTCTGAGCGCAGACCAATTCTGAACTTCTTCTTCCAGCTCAGCTCTCTCTTCACAGGGACGGTCGGGTGGAGCGCCTGTTTCACTGCTGCGGTGATCCGCCTGTTGGTCTCCTGACCCCCCCGTGGGTATCCTACCCTTACCCGTGAACAAGACCCCGAGATTCTTGGACTCCTTGGCTGGAGCTGGGCAGTCTGGCTAATCTTGTCCACTTGGCACCTTGCCACCAAGGAGCTTTTTGAACACAGTAGCAACTTCAGTTAGGCACCTCCACCGCCCCCCCAGGAATTGCCTTTAGTAAGCCCTACTTTCCCTTCCTGAGTCGTGGGATGGTTTGAAAGAACCTCCTTGACACCGACCAAAAGTCCTTCTTCGAGGCTTCACCGAATTCCTCCCGTCCCCGAGAGTTTTAGCATCTGCAACCACCATCTGCAGCCCCTTTGGCCTGCCGTTACCTCTCGGCCATCCTGTCCAGCTCAGCACCCAGCGGTGATATGCGGCCGCAGACCAAATGATACAATTACAAAGTCAACCATTGATCGCCGGTCAAAGGTGCTCTGGTACCAGGTGTATTTTATGCGCCACCTTACGAATATGGGGTTTGTTATGGAAAAACCATGGCCAGCTCAGAACTCCAATAGCGTGACAGGGCAGGGTCAGATCAAGCAGGTGGTTCCTCCCAATCACAAAGTTATTGCCCATGTGTCTCCCAGGAGAATTACGGAGTTTGTCCGATGGCGCCCTTTCTACGACCCCTTCCAGCATCCCCAAGAAGGAGGATCC